GGAGGTTGCAGGAACAGAGGGTTGAAAGGTGCTTACAGAAACAAGTATGGGGATTGTTATAATAACAGCATCTTGAAAAGAATGCATTTGAAGGTATTTCAACAAAATGTACCTAACAAAGATTTGTTTTAAACTTCTAAAACATAGGGGCTTTTTTTTCTTTTTAGATTATTTGTAAGTGCATCTTCAATCCAATTTCAAAGGCCCACTTGGGCTATGTTCTTGAAATCTTGGGAGAGGTACTATACTAGATGGGACCTTTTAGTTATAGTAAGAAAAAAAAGAAAAAAAAACAGCCCTATTCCAGGTAAGGGAAGAAATAGGGGACGTTACAATAAAGTTACTAACATGTTGAAGGGGCCTGGGCCTGAATGGCCAGAATGCAATCTGTGTTCAGAAGCAGATGGAACCCGGAAGGGAATGGTTCGCTCATCGGGAAGTTGGGGTAACGTCGTCTGTTCCTGCTCTTCGTATGTTTCTTTCTTTGTCGTTTTTTATTAAATCATAGCTGGGTACATTAATGCAGTCATGGGGTATAATGTGCTGGTTTTATATACAATTTGAAACATTTTCACCAAACTGGTTAACATAGCCTTCATGGCATTTTCTTAGTTATTGTGTTAAAACATTTATATCCTGTATGCTCTTTGTATGTTTCATGTATCATTTGTATTCTACCTGCACAGCTTTCTCTATCATTCAAACCTCAGTACAAAGATGATTGTGCTCCAGCACCTATGTGGTCAAGAAACTAACTTATACAGAAACTAAATGTTCTTGGTCACAGTTCCATAGCCTCATGAGAAGGGATTCTGATTGGCCTACCTGTATTCTATTCACACATATTTTTTCTATACGGAGCGTGCATTGAAATTACATGATTATGAAGAAAGACTTACATGGTCATCTAGAGATCATGTCCCATATGAAATTGGGATGTATTAATTTAAGAAAATACTTATTCATTCATCCATCCAGCAAGCACTTGATGAAAACCTATTATATTTGAGGCTCTAATTCTAGATACTGACTACACACATAGTGAATAAAGTAAACAGGTCCCTGGAGAAACTGTTATGAATCATAGAAATAAGTTTGATATAAAAAAAAAAAAACCCAAGAAAACGACAAAACAAAACACTACAACCTTGCCAGAGAAGAAAATAAGTGTGGAAAATCCTTTAAAAACAAAAGTAATTTCTTTAGTCCCTCAAGATGAAAATAAATCCAGAATGAAATTTAAGATCACTGCCCACTCTCTGAACACATTACACATTTGAGTCACTTTTAGAGGAAGAAAAATTGTGAAAACTCTGTAAGAAATCGTTCAATGAGTCACAGTTACATAAATCTATCTCAGATCTGCATAATCCAAAGACTAGGTTAATACACGTTTACTACTCTTAGGATTCAAAATTTATAGGAAATAATGGCATAATATAAAATAACTAGATTTTCTTTACATGGACTCTACTTATTTTAATGTGTAAGTAATGGACATACTGTGTATTTTGGAAGGAAGCTACCAACAGTACAAGCAAACCATAATGTGGTTTTCAGAAGTAATGAAATTTTTATATTAAAAAGTGAGATTATAGTATATGCTAACCTAAGGTATAATGTGAAATAATGAATCACCCAATACAGGAGTAATATGAATACTTTTGCAAATTGTCCCTGCTTTCAGAAATTAGTTATATTACTAACACTGAGCTCATCAAAAAACAGACACGGGGTGCCCAGAGCCATCTGTCCTCAGCCCATTTTTTAATCTTACTCTTCTCAACTCCTCTTGAGCATTTTATCTGAGAACAAAATGTTAATTTGTCACTTGGATATGCCTGTCTCCTCAATACCTATCTATACTCCAAGGCTCTCTACCTCTTCAGTGCCATATTTATCCCATTCCAAACTTTTTCTTCTGCTACAGCTTGTATTGCAGGTTCCTTGGGGGCAGGACCATGCACAATTCACTCGTATGTGTACGCCTGGTGTCCAGAGCAGCACACACGAAGTGTACATTTATTAACTCTGAGTTAGGGCCTTCCTCTGAGCCTTAAGATACTTCCACTGGGAGGTCTTGATGTTCCAGTCCATTCATCTCGTCATCTTTTCATGATTCTATTCAAGTACCTCTCTGATGAAACTTTTCCTGACTCCTTCCAACTCAGCCATCCCCTTCTTTGCCAGCGGGCACGTCTGTGTCAACACAAGACCACACCTTCATTCTGGTTCTGGTTCTTCTTTCTGTCTTAGCAACTACAAAATTATACATTTACAGGGTGGCCACAAAATAGACAACTATTTTAAACTGCCTCCAAACTTTATGGCCACCCTATATAATATAGATAATTGAAAA